CTGCAGCTGCCAATGTCGGAAAGTGGGTTATTTTGCTCGTTCTAACAATTCTAGCGAAGTATTTATAGCTTCCATCTTCTGTGAATATCAAATTTCTGTTTTAACTTGTTATAACCCCCATACACATGATTATGCTGCAGGCAACTGCTGTTTTTCGACTTGTTATAATTTTTCCTAGAAATTAGAATATTATTTTGTACAGATGTCTGTTTATTTTGCTTGTTAATTTTCTGTTGGAAAATTTTCTTTTTAAACCCGGGCGTCCCCTTCTCTAGCTCCTTTCGTACAGCTATGCCAAAACCCCCCTCTCACATCTCCCACACCTTCACTACTCACCATGCTCCACTCCACATGCTTACCTGATCCTCCTACCGCATTGCTTATGAAGAGAAATCGGAGGTGAATTTTGACTAGATTAAATGTCGAATTTTCATTTATTTGAAGTTTCTATGCTGATGTAAATGTTGAGAGACACACTTGTCAATTAATTAACTAGTATAATCATTCTTCTAATTCTCCTTTTTGAGTGTGACCCATTATGTCTTCGATCACGATGCCTAACAACGTGAACTATTATCTTGATTTAATCAAAATAAGATAAGTTATAACACTTTAAATTTATCATTAATTCATATAGATTTATTGATTCACATTCGTTGTTTCAGATTGACATCTAGCAATGTGTCACGGCAATTGACAAGAAATGTTATCAAAATTGTTCGTTTACGTAAAACTATAATGTTTTCGTAATATAATCCGATCAATTATAAGACATGGAAGTGTGCTAATCTCATTTATTAATAATATCTTTCATCATACTTTTAAGTCAATATAAGTTCCAAAATACTTTTTTAACTTACAAGCACACATTAGTCAAGAATTTCGTTATTAATTTAATTGAATGAAATGTAAATCACAGTCTCTAACTATTTAAGAGTGACAAATTCTCTATTAATCATTCACAATGTTCACATGATTTTTGACATACCCGAACGATGTCGTATTAATGACTCTTTTTAAAAGTAACATCCAATATTACCAAAATATGTCTGTCCTCATACAAGACACTATGATACTCTTAAGTCAAATAACCAATTTTACTACCGAACGTTAGAGATTAACCATTAAAACTCAAATAGTTATCCATGTGTTATTTCTCCAACAGGTTTCCAAAGTTTTGTTCTTATAACAAAATATACATGTGTTCATTTAAATATCACTACATTTTAATTTGTGAGATCAACTACTCATTTCATAAGTAAAAAATGTTACATATGCTATTCTATTTGTAATAACGATATCTGCATCTCATTATTACTTATAACTACATAATTTAAAATCCAGTCATGTGTAATTTGCTTGTCACAATAACAACTCATTGTGATTAACAAGCTACCAAAATTGAATCTGCGGACTCTATTAATTTAATTTGTCAGAATATTAATTCAATTAAACAATAAATTTACTATAAATAATACTGTATTAATAATATGTTCACGGCCAAAATCTATTGGACCTAGGCGCATAAATACTTACAAGAGCAACACTTTTTGTTGTACATGCATGAATTTAATGTCGTCAATTTTTTCAGCTTTTCATGTTATGAAGCCGTTGGAATGACAAACTCATTAGATCCAGACTTTGTCCAGCTGCATCACTAGTTTGCTTAGTCGAACTAATCTTTTTTCTATACACACAATAATATAATATAATATAAATATTAAATTATTGAAAATCCAAAACGTAGGCGAGTATGTCCGTAAATGATGAGGTCATGAACCACGTGAACTAACAACGTATGCAACAAAAAGAAAACAAAAGTGATAGAAAATGGCTTTAACCATGTCTTTGACAAGGCAGAGGCAGCAACTGAAAAAAATTGCGCATGTAAAATAAGGAAATGAGGCTAAAATTGAAAATTTGGTTTTTATTATGATCTTTTATTGAGACAAAATCGTCAGCGTGTGGACCATCTTGATTTGACATGAAAATGCATTCTCCATAACCAGGGGCGAATCCAAGAAATTTTTTCAGTGCGGACGATATTTGTAAAAAAAAATTATAACACAAACATTATACTAAAATGAAATACTTTACAATTATTTTTTACGAGTTTTCATATTTTGATATCTTTGTACAAT